CCACTACATGATAATTATTATCTTCTAAACTACAGATAGGTTGACTTCTTTAATTTCAAGGCAGTACTTAACACTGATTCTGCTCTTTTGGTGATTGCACTCAACTTATTTCTGCTGAAAATGTTAGATAGTAAACCCTTAAATCAGGAATAGAATGTTATCCTCACATGGCATCGGGCTAATGTACATCAAATGATATAGGATGATGAAATCTGACATGACCTAATGGAAAATGATGCATGCCTCAGCTGTTTTAGGTTTTTATTTTTACAATTTGCTAAAAGTAGTTAGAAACAGCTAAGTCGCTTCAAGACATGGAACTCTGTTAATAAACCCTGGGTTTAAAAGAAAAGTAAGTAGCTGAAGCACCTCCAATTTTTATCTGCAATTTCCAACACAGTATATTACAAGGAAATTTCATTTGGGTCTTATTACTTGACATCAGCATTGCCATGTCTGCACTTGCTTTAATTGTAGGTTCAATCGTTCCCTAGTTGTTGTCTTGTTGTTATAAGACTCAGATTAGTGAAAGGCTTTATTGCATAGTGTGCTACAATATAAAGTTTCTGCTTGTTGTCAATGCAAAATGCTTGCTATTGTGTTTGTTGTAATGTCACTGTAAGGCATTTGGATACTTTTTCAATGCCCTCTCATTGTTTAGGGTCTACCTTCTTATAATCAGCTACCTAAAATTTCTGTTTTATGCATGCAGCAACTCTGCATTTTGCTTGTGGGACTACCTTTTTAAACCTGAACATTTTGGGAGTGTAACATAGGAGCCTCTCTTTGAAAATATTCCTTTTTGAAGCCCAGTTAATTGTGATAGTAACATTTACCACTTGCACTACCAACTGTTAAATTGGAGCTGTGATAGAGCTCTAATGACTTCTGGCTCACATGAAGATTGCAAAATCCAATTTAGAGAGCATCTTTGTAAGTGAAGTTAACAAAGTGACAAATTTTATCTGCTCATTTTGCATTTCACAAACAATCCCTTTGCATGGAAAAAATGCCACATTTTGTGCTTTTTATATACACTTGAGCAGCTGAATGGCCATCTAGTTGTGTAGCTAGATAAGTTCCAGTGTTCTGATCCTTATCAGGAATTTGCTCAAGTTTTCTATAAAAATATCTAAACTTTCTTCCTTGAAACTCATGGATATTTTGCTTTTCTGAAAAATGCAGGGATATTTGTTTATTATAATCTTCCTGTGCGCATAGGTGCTGCAACTTGATTTGTTAGGAGTCATACTGCACACCCTGGATTGAAGTTGATTCCTTATATACAGTGTTTGATTCAATGGCTCTCCGCGCTCCCACTATAAAAACTGTTCAAGCACTCTGTCTGTATAATATGCTTCACATTTACTTGGTCTAAAACTTTAGATTTTTTTTATTTATTTTTTTTTAGCCAAAATAATGGTGGTTTGTGTTTCTATATTCTTCAGCCTTTCATGTAAAAAAAAAAAAACCTCATTGTGTGTGAGTATCAGGTTTTGTGCATGCAAAATAGATTTAAAACAGGTTGTGTAGTAAATCAAGGATTGACTTAAAATTTAACAGGGTTTGGTGGCAGCAACTAAGTATGTAAATATATAGTTGTAGTAAAATTCTAGGGTTGATCCAAACCCAGAGGTTTTTTTTTACTTACTTAAAAATATTTGTTTAGAAACCTATAACAGAGGTTTTTTTTTACTTAAAAATATTTGTTTAGAAACCTATATAGGTGAATTGTGCCACCCACTCAAGATAAACATATCTATACCAGTACTAACACGTTTACATAATAGATTATTTCCATAAATTTACTGACACTCTACACTGATATATCAGTATAAACATGCTTATAACTTTACATCAACATAGGAAAACTGACTTGTAAACAAATAAACTCAAACACAAATCAATTACTTCAATGAAGCAGAAGCAGCTGCAAATAATTTATTGTAGCTTATTTTACTCTGACGTAGTTGGCAAATTAAAATGCTTACTGTTCTGGAAAAAATAATTGTCTTTGAGTGATCTGACTAACCTTAATTGTCTTTTTAAAAATTCAAGGAGCATCCCAATATTTAGTTTGTAATGTCCCGCCATGCCTCACGCATACCTCTTTAAAATAGGCCATTAAATAAATAATAAGGAAAAACTAGCTATGTGTAGATTTGAATTGTATAAAAATTTCTTTCTTTTCAAACCTACAGATAGCCAATTTTCTTGGCCAATAATTTAATGTGTGTATAATATTGTACTATAAACTAAGTGCTCTCAGATGCCTGAGCTCCTTAATATAATATTGTACTATAAGTGCTCTCAGATGCCTGAGCTCCTTAAACATCACAATATGATATTAAATGAGAGATGGTATGTATATTTTCTCACAAAACAAAACAAGAGGCTGGGTCTTCCTACAACTTTGGAGCTGGGGTTCAGATCCTACTGCCTTCTGTTAACCTTATCCAATATCTAAGGAGAACAATGGCATTCACCACCCTGCTCTGTAGCAGCCCAAGCAGAAACTACACTGGTGCCCCACCTAGTGCTCTGCAACTATAGAAAACACTTCTCCTACTTCCATAAGGCTTTACAGGCAAATCACCTATCCTCACTTCACTAGCCAAGCAAAATGTAATTACTTTACATCACTTGTCTAACAAACCAGCCTCGTGTCTAGCAATAAAAAGCTGCACTGTGCTTCAAGAAGTAAAACATGGGTTGGCTTCTGAAAGGCTCAGTAAAGCAAAAAGTCTATGATACTAATAGTTAAATGAATTACAAAATGAATATTGTACTGTCATGAATAAGCAGGTTTCAGACTTGCTAGAATTAAAAACAACATTTTAAAGTGAATAATGTTTAATTCAAAACTAGGATTAGCTGACACAGGCTTCATTTTATGCAGTCTGATTCATGGGGTAATATCTGATAAGTAGAAGCACTCGCTTATTTTCAGCTTTGTTGGACAGGAATAATAAATAACTGTTCAATACAATAATCAAGCTTGCATTTCCTGCATGAGCCGTGTTATTCTAGAGCTGGTACATACCTTTTTAGAAAGGTTTCTGAGAGATTCCAGAAAGGCACGTAGGAAACTAGCTTGGTCACATGCAGAGTGTTTAAATGAAACATTGTGCAGAGAAGGCACGCTGTCAGAGTCCCGACCCATTACACTTGAAACAGTGAAGGAAACTGCCTGACTTAGTCCATTTGGAGACTTGCCTATGCCACAAGAACTGGTTGGGCAGATCCACTGCATTAGCCCTTTTGCTCTAGTGGATGATCACAAAAGGGCTTTCAAGTAGGGGGTGAATCTGACCCCATGCATTTATATCTAATGTATTTAAGATGTGTATCTTTAGTGGCTTGTTGCAGTCCTTCTAGACCAGTGGTGCGCAACTCGTGGGTCACGACCCCCAAGGGAGTCACAAACATCTTCCTAGGGGGTCGCCACGTGGCTGCCAACAGCCGGGCCCACCCCCCGGCCGTCTGGATCTGAACCCCGCACCCCGGGGCCACAAACAACCAGGACCAGCAGTACAGGTCACAGTAGAGAAAAGGTCACACTTTTCTGTGAATTCGTCACAATGTGTGTCCCTGTGCTGCACCACAACTGCACAAAGGACTATCATGAAAATCCCAGCAATACAGGATGGCTTCACAGAGACCTTGCCCTGTCTGGAACCCATTCAACAGGGCCCATTTGAAGATGGAGCAGACAAAACCAGCCAGGCAGAAAGTGGGTTCGGTGACAATAGACTGGTTAAGAATTATAACAGACATTCATTGCTCTCGTCAGTGGCTGCACCACAACTGCACAAAGGACTATCATGAAAATCCCAGCAATACAGGATGGCTTCACAGAGACCTTGCCCTGTCTGGAACCCATTCAACAGGGCCCATTTGAAGATGGAGCAGACAAAACCAGCCAGGCAGAAAGTGGGTTCGGTGACAATAGACTGGTTAAGAATTATAACAGACATTCATTGCTCTCGTCAGTGTGTTTGCTCCTTAACATCCTGGCATGGCAGATGAGAAAGCCAGTATTTGGCAGCCTTGGGTTTGCACATACTTTCATCAGTAACTTGCCAGTGGCAACCTCTCTTCTGATATGAGGCGGAACAACATTGCTCATAATTGGGAGCCATGAGTCAAAGGCAGAGTGCCAGAGATAATGTGCATGTGGTATAGCTGCATATCTATTATTATAGATATCTAATAGGTATTTCTATCTTGAGAAATAAATTTACATGTGCCACAAAAATAGAGAAGTGGGTCATTTTTCCAGAACCTGAAAGTGTTCTCCAGTTTGATGCCTTCTTTCCTCTGCCCCATTGGTAGTTACTGAGCAAACAAAGAACAAACAGCCTCTACCCTAAAGAGATTACAATCTAAAATCAAGAGAGGAAGCAACAGCTGTTTACAAACAGGAGTATAAACAAAATAGCACAACATGCTGTGACCAATGCCTACCAGCAGTCTAATTACTGATAAGCTCTTTTGGTTTGGTTTGTTTTTTTGTAGCATAATGGAAAAGGAGAGGGGAGGGATTTGAAGGTGGATGAGGTAGCTTTGTAGATGTTTATGGCAAGTTCCTCCAAAACATAAGGGGAAATCATGGGAGAAAACTTAAAGATGATTATTTAAAAAATGTAATGAGAAGGTGAAGGAGGCTGCATCAGAGGACTGCACTGGCTTCAAGTACCATACATGTGTTAAATGTCAAATCCTGAAACATAGATCTTTTTTTAATTGATCTAATTAAAATTCAGGCTATTCTGAAGCAGATAATTTGAATGCAAACTCTGTTCTTTTACTCTGTCTCGAAGGGTGAATTCCCCTACTGATGTGTACTAAAAAGGCTCAACTATAGAAGAAAATGTCGAATTTTTGAATTCCATTTTCCAATGCAAACCAGAATTTGATATTTTGAGAAGAGCTTATAAATGTAGCTAAAAACTTAAAGATATGAGGCCATAGAAACCTTTGACGAAACATAGCTCAGTTAAAAATAGCCACATCACAGTATGTGGGTTCAAAATTAATTTGAGAAAGTAGAACACAATATGAAGGGGCAGAAAGCACTAACACTAAACACATTTTCCCTAATTTAAGCCTGCCTGGGTTTAAAGTTTAATTATAGACAGCTTCCATCATGCAAAATGACTTTCACTTTGTACATTTTCACTGTAAATCACAGTACTAACATAATATTTAAAGGTCAGAATTCTTGCAAAATTAGCTCAAAGGGAAACTTTTTTACACGTGAGAGAGGTGTAGTCTTTTTTTAAACAGAAAGATGCATAACTCACTAATAGCAGAGTTAAAGAAAGCTGTGTGCATGAGTCTCCTTAACTTTTTTTAAATGATGTGACTTGTACTCTTTGAATGTCTAGCATGCGGGAGGCAGTGGCTGAAGAGCAACTCCATAAACATTCTGTTAATTGTACAATTTGTCACAGATTTGTCAAAGTTCTCCCATCAGAGCAAGGTGATATAAATAAAGTCATTTGATACAGAAGCCAGACACACTTGGACTTCAAGCTTCTCTGAATACTGGTGTAAACATTCCTGTGCAAGCCATCTGAAAAGAGGCAAGGAAACAGAGTCATGGATCAGCTTGCAGCAGTGGCAGACTTGGCCAGCCACAGAGGGGAGTATACACAGCACCCTGTTAAGGAGAGGTGTAGGGACTGTGATTCCCCTGGGCTCTAAAAGCCTTCCTGGCCCTTCTGAAGGAAAATACCCGTGGGACCTCCCATTGGGGCACTGTAACGCTACACCATCTTCAGTATGGATTTTCATTCTGCCTCCATGAAATTTCTGTGAAACTTTGGAAAAGATCTATTAGACTATAAGCCCAGATCCACAAAGGGACTTGGACATTACAATGTTTAACTCTTGGGCATCTAGAAAACTATTGGCCCAGCCATGGAATCTAAAAAGCTAAGTTAGATGCCTTCCCTCCCTATTCAATGCATGGAGAGAATGGTGTCTAAGAAGGGGATCCCCAAAAGCCAGCATGCTGGGCGAGGAGCGACCTAAGCTACAGAATGGGGAAATGTTGATGAGAAGGGTAAGTCCTAATCCCCTTCCCTTTGAGTTTAGCATCTCTCTTGTGATCCACAGCCAAGCACTCCTTTCCTGCTTCAGTGTGTTAGGCATATAACCTTTGTCTTGCAAGAGTGAGTTAGGTACCTGCCTTGCTGCATATTGTAATTGCGATGTCCATGTAACTTTTAGCTCTGTGGTTTAAAATGCTGACCTCGGATGCAGGACACCTGGATTCAATTCTTCCCTTTGCTCAGAGTCTGTAGCCACCTACCAATCAGCTGCAATCTTGGGCAAAAGTTTTTTTTTCCTCTCTTGCTGAGGCTTATTGGGCAATAGGTGTCAAGGTGCCAATAGTGAGAAGCATTAAGCATACCAAGAAACATCTAGGCACCTATAGATATGGCATAGTGATAGAGATGTAGCCGTGTTAGTCTGGGGTAGCTGAAGCAAAATGCAGGACAATGTAGCACTTTAAAGACTAACAAGATGGTTTATTAGATGATGAGCTTTCGTGGGCCAGACCCACCTTTACACACTGATGGGCTGGGTCCATGTAGGTCTCATGTAAGGGAGTCGAGGGGCCTGAGGCAAAGCCAATGAAAAGACTCCCTTTGATTTCAATGGACATTGGACCAAGCTGTAACCGAGTTTAAGAGAGTTTTAATTTATACCCATTCACACATTAGCACTGTCTTTAGGCCAGACTGTTAATACCTCCGGGATCAATTATTCTGTCCTGAGAATATTTAAACTATGTTTAAATTAATGATTTGTTTGAGCAGAAGATGGCTGTAAAAATCTCTTTTCATTTCAGGTGGAAAAGCCCTGGTCGGGAGCATTAGGTAGACATTGAATTACTAACTATACATGTTTGAACATTTCAGACGGGTCGCTGTGTTAGTCTGTAACTTTAAAAACAAGGAGTAGTCCTCTTGGCACCGTAGGGCATATCTACAGTAGGAAATTATTTGGAAATCACTAAATTCGAAACAATAACTCCCAAAATAACAAAACTGAAATGACATGCCCCCTCTATGGGGAAGCCTCAAAATTAGTCTGAGGATATGGCAGACTACCATGGGTTTTGCGGATTGCAGTAGTACCTAGAACTGAGACTTAGGTGCCTGGCTACACAAAGGGACTTGGACCATATTCACTCTAGCCCCAGTCCTGCAAACTATTTACATATGTATTAAACATGAAGCTCTATGAATACTCAATATACTGATTTAAGAGGACCTACATTTTCAGATAGGGCTAGTGAATTTGTGCCTCAGTTCTTCTGCCCCCAACTTAAGACTCCCTTAAAGGGCTTTAGTAGAGGATAGGTACTCAGCATATTTGAAACAGCAGCTCCAGTTAGGATTTCTCACATTGGAAACCCCAAACTAAAAGCAACCAAAAATGGTCAGTTGCCGCTTCTGGAAAGTTCGGATCAAGTATTGATAAATATAACTGTCATATCTTACTCTGTATTATACTCCAACAAGCAGATGTAATAAAAAATACATAGGTCTCCCAATGAGTTTATACTCATAGGCTATGTCTACACTACAGGGTTTTTGCGCAAAAACCCTCAGAGTGTCCACACCTCAAGTGTGTTTTTGCACAAGAAAATGTACAGTAAAATGGCAGAACAGAGGGCTTTTTGTGGTGTAGGTACACCTCTTTCTATGAGGAATAACTCCTTTTTGCGCAAGAGTTCTTGTGCAAAAAGGCATGTGTGGACACTCAACAGGGGTTTCTTGCTCAAAAAGAGCCTATCAGAAAAAGCACACATGTTCTGATGGCCATTCTTTGAATGGCCATCAGAACTTTCTTGTGCAAGAGCATCCATGGATGCCCTCTTGCACAAAAGCACATTGCTTTTGGGATGCATTTTTGAGGTGTGGATGCGCTTTTGCGCAAGAAGTTTTGTGGAAGATCACTTCCGCAAAAAGCTTCTTGCGCAAAAACCCTGCAGTGTAGACAAAGCTATAGTGAACAAGGCAAAGCAAGATCTAAGAAAAGGAAATATGAAGCTATAGTACATCCTCATGCTATACACAGACATCACTTAGAATGTTAGTAACAAGTTAGCATTAGAAGGCAGAAGTTGATATTTTTTGGTGGAGCCATCTTTGTACATTTTAACCTTAACTACTGTGTAATTTTGCTTATAAGATGCCTGTTTAATATGCATTTGATGTCTGTTATCTTGTAATTACCAATGGTTCATTATTTTAGGCAGCTGTTTTTAATTGTGGACATCAGAATCTATAAAGGGAGTTGATGCATATCCTCGGATCTCCTCTTTTTGAGAAGGTGCATATGCAATCATCTTCAATTAGACTTAGGAAATGTAGCTTGCAGAATCATGTGTGTGTGTGTGTGGGGGGGGGGGGTTAATTCTAGAAGCCTGATAATGAAAGGCTGTCTTGTGGCTCCAAGAATCAATGTTGCATTGGGTAAGGGTACTAGACCCGGAAGCTGGATGCCTCCTAAAGCATAATGCTTCTGAGGGTGCATTAATTGTCAGACATCTTACACTTGTGTTAGTTGTAAATTGCATGCTCACACTCAGGTCAGTGTGCAGAAAGGGCAAGGAAACAGTTATGTCCCTTCCCTATAATGGCAAGGCGTCTGGGGGGCATGTATACTGTCCTTCTTTTCCCCTCCTTCTTGCACTTCAGTGCTGAAATGGAGACAAGTGTGGAGGGCCTCTCTACTGCCTTATACTTGACTTGAGCCCCAGGAAACCCGGCTTGCTTTCTGGTGCCTGAGGCCTTGTCAATGTATTGACATAAATTTCAGCATGGCAGAGCAATTATTTAAATGTATGGCTGCCCCTTCAGCGAGAGGAGTATGTTCCTTGCAACATTTACCCCCTTCGCTTCACCCTGGTTGATTTCATAGGAGTCTAGGATTTGTGACATTAACTCTGTTGGAAGCTGATATTTAAATAATTTCCCTTAAATCATAATCTTGAAGTGTGTGGTTTTTATACACAAACATTAATGTATCACAATATATTCTTAATTGTCTAAGAAAAGAGAGCTATTTGATTAATTGTCAGAAGTTCCAAATCCTGCTGTTATGGAAATAAAAAAACAGAGAAAAGAAACGTAGCTTTGTCTGTCTCAGCTTTCTAGAGCACAAAATACCTAAAGGGGGAGGGGAGAAGGGCTAAAACGGGACAGAAGACCGGATTTAAATTCTTTTTAAATCTCTCTAATTAGAATACAGTTTAGCAGCAAACTGAATTTGATTTGCAACAATAACTTGATCATGAGACCTTTTATTTTTGCAGCTAATTTGTGAACATATATAACAATTTATACTGACAATACCTACTGACTGGCAGACCAAAATGATGAGCATAGACTAAAAATAATGCTAGATTGCTAGACACAGTGACTAGCAACTGTGGCTCTGCCTCCACACTACGCCAGTCCCAGGAGCTAATCCTGCTGTGGCTCTGCACTTTAAATGTAGTAAGAGCCCAGCAACTTGTACTATATTTAAAATGCAGAGCTGCAGCAGTACAGGAAATTCCATCGGCTACTTGATTAGCTAATTAACCATTACTTAACATCCCGACTGAGAACTCCGAAGTTCTAATCCCAGCTCTGTCGGTGGCTCATCCTGACTTCAACAAATAATTCGGTTTCACTTTATTTGCTTTTCTTTATCTGCAAAACGGAGATTATAATCCCATACCAACCTGACACATTCTAGACTGTAAGCTTCTTTCGAAAGAAGCTTTTTCGGAAGAGATCTTCCAAAAAAACTTCTTCTGAAAGACAGCGTCCACACTTCAAAAGCGCGTTGAAAAAGCAATCTGCTTTTTCAAAAGAGAGCATCCATACTCATTGGACACTCTCTCGCATGAAAGCTGTGATTACTATGGATGGAGTGACCACCAGGGCACCTGTGCTTTTTCCTGGAAGCCTCTTCTTTTTTAAAAAAAACCCTCCCTTTTCTTCATCCACACACACCTTTTTCCAAAAGAGCTCTTTCGAAAAAGGTGTTCTCCCTCGTAGAATTAGGTTTACCAATGTCGAAAACCCTCTGCATTCGTTCGATTTTCTTTCGAAAGAACATAATAGCAGTGTGGATGTAAGTGAAGTGTTTTAGGAAAAACAACTGTTTTTCAAAAAAAAAACCTGTAGTCTAGACACACTCATAGTATGATGGTAAGAATTAATTAGAAAAGCAGAGAAAATCACTTGTAATGAATAATTTTATAAGAAATTGACTCTTGTTTTGTTTTCACATTGCCTGTTCTCTCTATTTTGTGAAATATATCTGATGTACAAAATTATCCTGCAAAATGTCTGCACATAACTCCAGGCGTACAAACATAAATAGGGGTCTGTAAGTAATTGTATGTTTGGTTTGCATGAAGGTCCAAAAATAAAAAATCACTGCGCTAAAACAAAACGCTCAATGAACTGAAACATTTGTTTAACTTTATATCAAACAGAATGTCTAATTTCCAATTTCAAAGTGTTAGAATGTTTTTTTTTTAAATATTTTTCTGTAAAACTGAGAGAAAATCCCAACCGGAAAAATCTTTCTGAAATGAAGTTGGAACTTTTTATTTTGAAAATTCCAAAATAAACCATCTTGTCCCTTAAAAATCCAACTCAAATTTATTGTAAACCTAAACCTGCACTCTATCAGTGGTGGATGAGGAAAGGTTTGTATAAAAAACTTTGCCCAGCGCTCGTTGAACTGTTTAGAAGCATTCAGAATCAAATTTCCACCGTTGGTATCTATGATTGGATATAAAAATCACAAGTTTTGTTTTTTCTCCCTAGCTGAGGGATATAATTCTCAGAATTGGATTTCTGGTGTAAATACTGCATTGTGTTCAAAATTTACCTTCTTTGATTTTTTTCTCAAATTCTTGCAAACAGATCACTGCATTCTCTAACATTGATGCAACAGCCATATCATTTGTTTAATCACTGCAGAAAAGGAACATGCAAAGGGCACAAACAAAAGCATAAAGAATAAAATATATTTTCAGTTGATATT